TGATGATTACAAGAAATACAGCTCCAACCGCCCCTCCCACTGCTACAGGTTTTACTGGGTCGCCTTGCTGAAATGGTTCTTGTAAAAAGAAAATATCAAAACTGTCTGATTACAGTGGCAATATGCCTATCTCTTGGCTTGAATATGATTTCAATCGATAATTAAATCATTGAATTTGATTGTGAAGTTAAAAATCCTAATATCACTATATTAAGTTAGATTATACTTCTTTGGTCACATTTAGATCCTTCAAATGACTCCACACATCCATAAATACAAGTTCCATTCTGTATGTTACACGTTTTATTTTTACATTTCTCTGAACACTTGTTCTTGCAGTTCAGTCCATAATTGCCTAAAAGGAATTCTAAACAAAACAAAGGACTTTGTTTAAACGGTAATTATTAGAAATGCAGTTTCACTACAGTAGACATATGATTATCTTAAAATCTCTTTCTTAAAAACGTTTGAAATTTAATATTGGCATAAATGCATAAAACGTTTGGACAACTTATACAATATATTGCATTTTTGTAAAAAAAAAAAAAAAAAAAAAATGGCAAAAAGAAATTATATGTTAAAGTATTTTTACATCTTTAAATATTATCACTTAAAACTGTTTTTCTGCCTGCATTATGATTTTAGCAAATAATTTTTCTTCCATGGTTCTGTTTTGCGTACCTTTGTCACAGTTCGGAGACCCCATCCATCCCTCAGAACAGAGGCATGATCCATCAATACGGTTACAGACATCATGGCATTTATCAGAACAATTATGGGCACACTTGATTCCATAGCTACCACTATCACATGCTTTAAAAATGAATGTACAAAATTCTCGTATAACTATCATCGTAGTTTTTTTTAATGTATTAATATGAAATATAAAGATAACAAACAGTGATCGATGTAAAACAAAAAATCTACAAACAATACAAATATGAGAAGATGGCATAAAACACGAACCCCTAATTATAAAAAAATTGAAAATATCTATGGTTGATATTAAAGAAATAAGGAGGTTCTCATTCACAATATTTATTTAGTCTTTGAAGACCATGTCTTCTAACAAACTGTTAGAATTCTGATGGACAATAATTACCGGTATATACCTATTTAAGGCTTCAGTTGTTTTTTTTAAAGCAAAATTCATTCGAAATCTCTGAATGAAAAGTAAAGCACTTACTAAATCTATTATCTATTATCATTGATTTATCAACTTACAACAGATACTTGTATTTATATGTTGACTCGCATAAAACTTAAAATATATAATTAACAAGCTTGCTTCCATATCATATTCCAATATCACTTTTATATATAGTGTGTATGTCTCGCTGTTTGGAATACTGCCTTTCAATGGATCTTAGCTTTGGCTGTCATGTTTCTTAAAATGGATAGGCCATTTTTAATTGACTAGTCCTGGTCTAAAATAATTTTAAAGAAATAATTCTTTTTCCATTTTAACTAATATCAACAGGAGAAAGAGGAAATTTAAGAAACAAATCTTTTTATGCACTCACTTTCATTGCATACGATTCCTTGAAATCCATCTTGACATCCAAGGTCACAGTGTCCATCTTTGTGATTACAATGCTTTATACCGTGTCGACAGTGGTTATTGCACTGTTTTGTGCAATTCAGTCCATAGAATCCAACGGAACAAACTAAATATAACCGAAACTCTTTATCGAGAATATCATGCACGTCTAATAGGTTGTTCTTATAATAAATGTTTGAAAAGAAACATTTTTTGTTTTTAATTTATTGTTTCATTTGATTTTTATATGAAGTTTCATCAAAATCAACATCAAATAGATCGGTTAGAAAGTGTAGAAACGTAGCGTTTTGTGAGACTTACAGAAATTTAGACTGCATCAGAGAAACTGCATGAAATTCGTCGATATAGAATAATTGATTGTATATTGTTTAACGTCACTCTCGAGAATTTTTCACTCATACGGAAACGCCACCATTTGCCGGTGGAGAGCTGCAAATTTTGTCCTAGTATACTCCTCACTCAGGACCATTGAGCAGGGAGGGATCTTTTTCGTGCCAGCACCTACTGCGACACGGGACCTCAGTTTATACGATCTCATTCGAAGGACCGGTCTCCACGTCCCACAGTGGGATTCGAACCCGCGACGTAAGGATTGACTCCTTACTTCGCGACTCAAGAACAGACGCTCTAACCACTGCGCCACGCGGGCGACAGGTATAGAATAAAATAAATGTTTTGGAAACGTTCTGTCAAGGGGTATTCTTTTAACAACATTCTTTGTTATTTGAACGAAAACTGTGAGTTTTACTGCAATTCTGATTTGATTTCCTTTCACGCAGAATAATATTTTTTTAATTCATTAAATAAATTACATTATTTCACTGCTGAAAATGTAATATTTCCATTTCTTTTTTTTTCTCTGTGATAACTTTATGAAAGTTAGCGGAGTTGATTTTTTGATAATTCCACTGGAATGTAAATTAGGCAGGTCGATAGGTCAGGAGCTAAGGTGGCCTAATATGCATGCAAATCTCGTGCGCATCTATCTCGATCTGTGTCTGACGCTAAGGAGGCTAAATATGCATGTAAATCTCGTGCGGCTGCCTTTGTGTTTGACATCAGTGGGCGAGGACTACTGAAATTGGCATGGGAGTCCTCGTGTAATTTCAATCTATGTCTACATTTACAAGTCTAAATCTAGAATTTTATTTCACAATTAAATGGAAATATAAGGAATCACTATATACGAGGGGTGTTAGAAAAGTTCGCGGACAAGTTCTATTGTGAGCGCGCTATTTCCACGAAACGGTCAAACTTTCCAGATAAAATCGTAACCTTTTTTTTGATAAATATACCAGAATTTGGTGCTCTCTGTTGATTACTGAAAAATATACAGCATTTTTATTTTGATAAAACTTGCTTCATGGAGCATGCTACATTTTGGCATGTTTACATCACAAAGACTCTTTATTAAGATTAAAAATTGCACAATTGTAGCGCAAAGAGATTTATGATATTTTTCCTGCCGCTAAAGTATGCAGGAAACATCACTGGGAGAAATTTTGAACTAAATTGGAGGGTATATGACTGTTTTATAGCCGTTTATAAATGATCAAAGCGTAAATCACAGGCCAAAATCGGAACGTCATGAGTGTCATGGAGCACTGCACTACGTAAAAATTATGTGTTCAGACAGGAAAATGTCTAAAAAGAGATTTAACTGTTCAAGATGCTGCCAGGACTTTCCTACACATACAAAGAACGTTTTCAAATGGTTGTAGCTTCATAATAATGGAAGGAGTAACATTTTGAATGATCAACACCATCGATACTTCAATACCCCCTTATCGCATGGACGTTGCGCTGCGCCTATATGGTTTTGCATAGACTCCATACCTGATCGATTAACTGCATGGACTTTTTTTATTTTTTAAGATCTCAATAATGTCCGAATCAGTACAAAATACATTATAGTAGAAAAGTAAATGTCTTGATTTAGATATTTAATTTTAAAGTAGAAAAAAAGATTAGAAAAATCTGAGGAAATGAAAGATTTATAGAACTGCGACAAAGCTTAACGGGTTGAAATCTGGTTGTCACGTCGCCTTACGTCAAGTGATTGCTCCGTGAATCCCATGACCCCATAGCAGAAAGAGTTGTAAAATTTAAGATTTTGTTATATGGACCTGATTTTTTACATACCAATAAACAAAATGTAGGAATTCATTCAGACATAGGTCATACTTCACAGTACACAATAAATTTTCTGTAATTCAACGTGTCCGCGAACTTTTCTAACAACCCTCATAGTTAGTATAGTATGCCAAGAACAACAACGATAGTGGGAAACATGGGATAATTTATGCATAACGGGCTTCGACCGTTATGCAAATTATCCCATGTTTCCCACTATCGTTGATGCCCTGGCATAATATACATGTACTAACTCGACAGTGATTCCTTAATAAATAAGATTATCCATCTTAACCTAACTGACAGACACAAAGAAACAGAAAAAATACCAAAAGAAAAAATCTTTATATTGTATTAACTCTATGGTATTCAGGGGGTAGTGCTAAAACAATCACAGTCATGTCAAAGAAACACTGTTTATCGTGCAATAGTTATGAACTTTACATATCAAATCCAAAATAAAAATTGGTTAAATTTTATTTAATAAATTTTAATATATCACAATATATCATACTAGGTCGATAATTGTTAAAAGAAAAGAACACCAGTATAAAAATATACCAAACCTCACACCTTTATCACAGTGCTTCCCCGTATATCCAGGTTTACAGCCCGAGTCACAACTTCCAGTTGTTCTGTTACAAGGGACGCCATTTACACAGTGCCCACTACAGTTGTACATACAATCAGGACCATACGTTTCTGCCGGACATTCTGTAAAATCAAACTTATCTCAGTCTCGTTCAATACCTTTATCTGGTGTTTTGAAACAAAGGCAAATATTCCTGTGTCTTCGTAACCAGAAAAATGTGATAATTAAAAATGTTTATGTTCAAGAACTATACCTATCACTATTACCTTTGAGACAAGTTCTTGGAAAAAAAATCAAAGAATTTCTAAAAAAGCAAAGAGTATAGCTAGATTGTTAATAAACATTTATCACAAATCATTTATAGGTAGAAATAAAAAAAAATGGTTTGTGAAGGTTGCTAAAAACGAAACTATTATTCTTTTAAGAATAAAGTAAAAAAAAAGAAGAAATTATCAACCTTTGCTGCAATCACTCCCTGTCCATCCGTCAGCACAACCCTCATCACATTGTCCAGTGATATGATTACAAGGCTTGTTGTTTCTACAATGTCCAATACATGGTGTTCTGCACTCCAGACCGTAATATCCCACAGGACAGGCTAGGTAGATAAAGCGCACATGAACAACATTTAAAAAAAAAAAAATTGATTTCTTTGAAAATAATTAGATACTAGTAAACCACCATACATTCAATCTTACAATTATTACAGAACTCTCCAATCCAGCCAGGTCTACACCCCAGACAGGAGCCATTCACAATGTAACATCTATGTTCTTGAAAGTTTTCTGGACATTGGAGATCACAGTCATATCCATAAGTACTGGTATTCTTACAACCTATTTAGAAATAGCTAATACTGAATTTATGACACTAATTTTTTCTTCTAAATTTAAAAAAATGCGTATGAATCGTCAAATCTTATTAATAATAATATTTCGTGTTTGATTACCTGTAACCTTTACTTCACACAATTCAGTGAAAACGTTTTCAGTTTTATATCCTGGAGGATAATTTACTCCATCCACTCTTTCGTTGTAAAATATTACAAAAAGTCCATGTGTAATACATATAGTATTGAAATCTAAGAAAGGTAATTTTTCCCCATTATGGTAGCATAGATATCCATCCTCTTTTTTAGAAGAGTTAGACACGTAAATGGAGAAGCCAGCAAAACGACCTCGCTGTGTCATAACTGTTGCTAAAATAAGAAATATATGCTATTACTATTTACTGTGTTTTAATATATATTTGTGAAAAGGATATATTAGCAATAACTTAATTTTAAAAAATTCAGCTGATGTAAATGTAACGTTATCACAAAATTGAAATGTACCTTTTGTTTATATCCCGATTTTAAGGTCTTAAAGTTGTTAGAATAAAAAATCTAATGTTTATATGCCTTATAGCTGCAATAATGTAGCCCTATCTTTTCTTTTATTTGGGAGAGGGCTACAGCTCCTTAGGATCTCCATAATCAGAATAAAAATCAGATTAAAAAAATCGGAGAGGGCTACTTAGTTCTCCTGCCAACGACTGTGCTTGAATTTTTTGTTTGCGTGTTTGTTTGTTTGTTTGTTTTGTTTTTTGTTTTGTTTTTTTTTTTTTGTTTTTTTTTTTGTTAAAATAGGCAAAAACAAATACATGTAACATCATGTAGAAGTGAAATATGTCATTTAATAAAGTAATTGACGAAAGAAATCAAACACAGTTAACAAAATACGGGTCAGAAAAAGGGGACTCAAAAACATGTATAGAGTATTGCACCTCTTACGCAAAATATTGCACAATCTACCCCCCCCCCTCCAGCACCATAATGACATTGTAACATGATGTACATAGGAAAAAAGGGGTCAATCAATCTAGAATAAGAATTCAAACCCTGTAATCTTTCATCTATTTCAAGTTGACCTCTTTATAAACATCACAAGATTCAAAACCATAATTTATTGTATAAATTATTCCCTAAACTGCTGCCTGCCATCAAAAAGGTGGGTACCGAAAATGTATCGGCTTCACAGATAAAAAAAAAAAACCAATATCTGCATCCAAACAGTAATCGTATGTTGTTTTAAAATCTTTTTAGAATTTTTTTTTAGCAAATCAAGCGATTCTTGTTTGAAAATTGTCATTTTTAAATTAGTACATAATAATAATTTATATATTTAGTTTACCCACAATTTTGAGCAGTTAAAAAATTTATTCAAAGAAAATATATATATTTCAATAGTCCCAAACAGAAGATACAATATACAACCTTTAAATATAATATGTTCAATTTCTTACAGCATGTTCAAAAGATATTTATCACATTTAAGGACGCTGTAAACACTGCACACTAAAGAGCTCTATTAATAGGGTAGTTTTATGCAGTTGAGTGATCTGCCCTTAGATGTAAGATTTAAGAAATTGTTATTTTCAGATATTATACTTTCATGTAAATTAGTTGAATCTGATTGGTCGAGAAACATTTGTTAAAAAACACTATTACCCGCTGAATAATGAAGCCACGCCCTCAAGCGTAGCAACAGACAACATTGCTTGAGAACGGGTGACATTCCAAAAAATAGCGACTGCGCAGAATTTATGCGCGTGCAACCGGTTCACTGTTATATGTATTTGTATAAAACATTCAGTATAATATAATAAATTTTGCATGTAGTTGAGTGTAACATTGAAAATTAAATTTTCACCCCAAGAAAACCATTGTCAATCGAGGCGCAATCTCGGTTGACAGTGGTTTTCTTGGGGTGAAAATTTTCAATGTTACACTTAACTACATGCAATATTTATATATTAATTACATGATTTGTAATAGATTAAAATATTTTTAGCATTATATAAGACCAAGATTAAGAAATTTGATCAATTATTTTCAATGTAAATAAACAACAGTGATTTCTGCTCACAAATAGTCTACTGACTTTGGAATATTCCTGCGCAAATAATTAAGGCACGTACCCTTTGTTCTAAATGAATGAAAAAGTCTCCATATACATATCTTTATGTGATATATTTTTTTCTGAGTCCAAAAAACAGTTTCTGTTAGTGTTTAGAGCTTCTTAAAACATTAAAACTCGTACATGTATGCTGCTAACGTTTACAATGGTAAAATAAATCGATCTTCATTAAATTCATGCATGCATTTCCACAAAACTTAGGGTATCCTATCCTACTTACCATTGTCTTTTCCACCATAATCTTTAAACTGTATCCTGATACTGTATATACTGTTTATGTCTCCCAGATCTACATACCACCAGACCCACTTGTTTGGATTGTTTGTACCGATTTCCTTTGTCTTCGTACATGTTTGTATGTTTCCATCCATTGCATTTGAAGCAGTACAAGCAGGTTTGCAGTAAGATGTTGAACTTTGATAGGCATTCTTATTTTTTGATAAATCCTCTGTTTAGAAGACATGTAAAAATAACAACTTTTTGTTTCGATATTATTGTGGAGTCATTCAGGTTTTTTTTTTTTTTTTTCTCAACAGATGTAAAATAGTTTTTTTTTTAGTTATAAATTATTGACTGCAAGAATTTAAGTCTATTTTCACGATCATTTTAATTAAAGCATTTCGCAAAATGGGTAGATATATTTTTCATTGAAAATTAAGCCTACATCGACAAAATGAGAAATTTTCAAAAATTAGAAAATAAACTACCCATGAACATCATCAAAATTCTTCTACAAAACAACAAAACTACTTTTAAAAATAATTCACTTAGTGATCCTTTGTTATTTATATAAGTATACGGAAGCCAAGATGACTGAACTAGGTTTTTGATGGAGTAAAATTAAATAAAAGCAGCAATGAAAGTGCAAAAAGTCACTTATTCAAGTAAATGACGAAAAGTAAAAAATATACATCATTATAGGGGGTCAAAAGAGACTAGAAAAATCTATAAAACATATATAATCTTTGGCATCACATTCTGCAGACTCACCCCTTAAAATTAAAATTCCATAAATCAGGCACTGATGTGGACAAAAGGCAAGGATAAGTATCAATTAAACGCGTCCTAAAATTCGTAGTTTATATAATTTCAAGATAAAGAAAATTTGAAAACACGTTTTTATAATATTTTTGTGTAAAATGTTCTAGCAATATATTACTCATTATTATATACATGTTATGGTGTATGTGGATTTTTTTTTGTAGAAATTATTTACTTCAAATCTATGTCCAGGTCCCTTTAAATATATTGCTCTAATAGACCTTGAATTTGACTGTCAAAACAATAAGTAATTTAAAAGTTTCCTAGAATATAATTCTTTTAATCAAATGTCCCAGATTTACAGACAGAGACAAATATATCAATGCGGTTCAACATTTTTTCGTTGATAAAGGGAACAAATGAACAAGAACGCTAATAACAAAGCTATAGACTAACAGAGAATTTGTACTCACCATAACCAAAAATCGTCACAATACTCAGAAACACCAAATAAATATAAATTTGCATGTTGTAGCATTTGTAAGAAAGGAATAAAGAAAAGAACTGAACACTGACCAGGAAGTAGTATGAAGAACTGACATATGGTGGCATATTTTAGCCAAACTTTGATGATTTTAAAATCTTATTTCATCTGAAATATTTTATTTTATTTCGTGTACAATAGTATAAAAAATGAAATAAATAAATAGATCTAAATAAAAATCACAAAAAATGATAATAAACTTTGCTCTAAAGAAGTTTAAGCAGCAAAATGTTCAAGACTGTTCAGGAATGAAAACCGAAAGTAGATCAGATAAGTTCTGACAAACGTTAGGTAAAGTTGTTAAAAAGCTTTAATTTGGTGCTTATTATACTCCCGCTTGAAAAGAAGGAAGACTGTACAATATCTAGTTTTAGATAGGGTGTCTGTCCGTCTGTATGTTACCATTGAGGGTTGCCATTCCTTATCCGCAACTCCTCCTAACTCATTCAAAAAAAAAAAAAAAAAAAAAATAATGAGACTTCATTACACATTGCACATCTTAAAATATATTGCTTTTTGATCAGAAAGATATTTTGGGTTTCCCGAAACAAATTTCTAGCCGGAAAGTCAAGTGAGCTTTTCTAATCAAAGAGTGTCCGTCGCCCGTCAAGCAAGTTCATATCGCTTGACGAAGGAACAGTTGCTACTCATTTTCATCGATCGCGACTTAGATCAGTTGTGGAGTTTATATAAAAGTTATGAAAATATTTTATTCACTACTATCAAAAATTAACAGGCATATACTTTTTGTTCTTTATGTCCCACGTATGTCTATTTGTCTGCAAAAACTTAACCTTTTTAACTTTTGATTGGTTGGGGCTTTGGCTTTCATATCCTTGTGACAAGACCCTTCTTTGAGTACCAATATATTTGACCTCTTTGCCTTTGACCCACTTTTTCAAAATTATGGACGGTTAGGCACTTACAATTTGCACCCTCTGCTCTAAACGAGTTCGAACTTTTCTTCTTTTAAAAAAAAAAAACTTTAACCTTGGCTATAACTTAAAAAAAAACATCTGATGTTTCTAGAGTTCTGCGTTTGCTCTGCTCGCAATTTCTATTGTTTCAATGGTTTTCTGAGATTGCTTACGTGTATTCCTTTTACAGAAATTAAGAAAATTACTGAATATTAAAGATGAAGTTATTTGTTATGGGAAATATAAATTTAAGTCATTTTGTCATAAAATTTTGTTAGATTATTATGTGAAGAGATGGTATACAAGTCATAAAAGTTATGCCGATGGCAAATTATCCACATATGTGAAACTCAAACAAAATTGGGGTTATGAGAATTATTTATCAGTTGTTAAAAATTTTCATCACAGAAAATTTCTATGTAAATTAAGAATTTCCTGTCACAGATTACAAATTGAAGTGGGAAGATTTACCAATATTCCTCGAGAATATCGATTAATAGATGTAATTCTACCAACATATAGATGATGAAACTCATTTTTTTTAATAGCATGTAAAAAATTTGATCATCAAAGAAAAGAAATATTTCAGTTAATTAATCATAAATTTCCACTATTTTCAGCTTTAGATGATGAGCAAAAACTTTATTATTTGTTACTCAATACAGAAGATAAGGAAACTCTTAATTTTGTGGGCAAATTTATAAATGACAACATGTTATAATAGTATTAATCTTTTACACATACATGCATATTTGATGTATTCCTTTTAGACAGGATTATTGTTGAAATGATTTATGTCAATTACTAATTGTATAATGTTCTGCTATTCACTGGCTTATCTTTTCCTTATTATTGTTAACAATCTCATACTTGTCTGTTATGGGCTCTAAATTAGATATAAAATGTTCTGTTCTGTTCTGTGGCAAGTTTTTTTGTATTAGGTACCAACAATAACCTTTTTTTAACTACTTTATTTTGACAACTTCAACCTTGGTCACAACTTTTGAACAGTAAGTGTGCTACCACATTCTTGGCTTTCGTATTTCACAGATGTATTTCTTGTGTCAAGACCGGCCTTTTATTTGGTACATGTACCAAATGCTTCCTTTTCCCCTTGACCTTTGACTTCGATTGACTTTTGAAAAAAAACCCAGCAAATTTGGCCATAATTTTTGAGTAGTTGCTGCTATAGTTTTCGGTCACATTTTACATTAATGTGGATTGGCAATCCGATGAAGATAGGCATCTTCCCAAGATCCTTTTGATAAATTATTAACAGAGTTCAATATCCTCTGATTAGTCGTTTTTGTTACGGTTACTAAAACATGCATTGTTACTACGTATACGAGGCACTACAGTCGATCTTGGTCTTCGAGGTGGGGGTGTTACCAACCAGATATAAGACGATGATTGACCATCATATTTAGCCATCAAACTGTCTCTAAACCGAATTTATATGTTCAATAAACAACATTTCGATTAAATTAAATAAACCCTGAAGAAAATCTTCTTTTTCTAGTTAACCTCCAATCGTATAATTATATCTTCTACAATGGGGGCAGTTCGAATGAAAGCATTTGCCACATATTTTGTGAGGTGACGTCAAGTTTTACACAGTCCGCAATTAATTTGTCACATAGCAAACGTGCTCGCAGTTTTCATCAATTCATTTACTCAAGTCCTTATGAATTAAATCTAAATTATACATGTACTATACAAATGTTTATCTTTAGAAAAAAAAAAAAATTCTAGAAAAATTGCAATATACATGATAAATAATGATTTTTATTTTAAAAAGAAAAATGTTTCGTATCATTTCAGTTCCTTGTTCTCAGTCAGAACATATCAAATTCACCTAAGCCTACCATTTAGAATGTAAACAGACGGTGCAGCTGTTAGTCTTGGTTTGGGAGTTATCTACCTTTTGTTTACAATCTCCAAAAAAGAGAGATGCTGTACACTGAATCAGGTATCAACCATTTTAATAAAAAGGTAAGTCGATGCTTTTGTTCAAAACATGCTATGTACACCTGCATACTTGATACTTTTACGTGTTTGTGCAATGTTATAGAGTTGACAGAAAACATCAAATATTGCCTAAGGGGCCTATATGTACTTCGCTAACCAAGGCCGGCAAGTATCTGATTCGTTTACTCTCATCCCCAAAGAAAGATGACTGAGGGTAAACGAATCGGACACTTGGCTTGCGAAGATGATTTAAAGGAATTATTTAACACAGACCGTAGTCCTTAGATCGTATATGAAAGTGAGTGGACCAGGGAAAAAAATAAATTGCCTATGAATATATCCGATTCCCCAAATCCTATCCCACGGATAAACGGAACATCATTCTACTATGGAACATTAACCTGCTACATTAGCCTAGCTTTTACTGAACATTCTCTGTAGCTAAAAAATACTATTTTCTCTCTCTCTCTCTGTTTATCGCGAATCAAGGGGGGGGGGGGTTGCAACCCCCGTACATACACCCCTCGAGCTCCGTCCTACAGCTGGATACGTCACAGTACTGAGTAGCCACACCACAGGCACTGACAAACTGTTCATTTCTTCTGAAAGTGTAAATGAGTGCGTTTCTGAAAGGGGGGGGGGGTACTGAGTATAATATTCAGAGTTCTACATATCTTAATTTATTTCCGAAACAATTGCCTGTGAGCAACACTGCAAAGATCACTACTTTGCTTTAATTGATTTTTCAAATAGAATATAGCAATGAAATGAAAACGCTTATTTAAAGTACAGGTGGCATATTCAAGTCTTACATGTATAAGTTATAGGCCTAAACTCAAGCTCCAACCGTACGTCTCCCTTTGCTTTTAGGTTTAATATATGCTAGAGTTGTCTATCTTGTTTTATGTTTCGTTCCTAAATTTCATTTAGAAATGCTTTATTTAATCAAATTCATAAGATAATTTGATAAGTAAAATACTATTGACATACAAGAACTAAATTTTTACCAGTTAGGAAACCATATAAAAAGAATTTAATAACATCTTGACTTTTTCCAGCATGTTTCAAGTATGTTCAGGAAAGGTAATCAGTAAATTTGGCATATTGTACTCGGTCAGGCAATATCAATGTCGTTTATATAAACAAAAGGATAAAAACTTGATCATAAGGTTAAACAATAAAAATGAACACATAAGAGAAAATGTCTTTATTAGCACAAAATAAAGATTGATTCACTCTGTTTTTTCGAAAATTCAAAATTAAACGCTAATTTTATAATACTTCTTGTGACAAAAAATGACAAGTGCAAATATTATATGAAGTCTAACCACCCTTTTCTAATCATACTTACCTGGTGCAGGGGATACCATGATCAGCAAGGTGGTTCCCCCAGATCGAGGCCTTACCATTGCACTCCGGTTTGGCTGAAGTCTGCGATAACCCCAAATGCGGGTTACTCGGGCACGTAATTTTTTAGTGTAGGGGTCTGCGTTCGCGCTAACCCCTGATCAATTTTAATAAAAGTATCGATTTCATTCCACTTCATAGGGTTGTAATAGTATCACTCTTGAAAAAAAAATTATACACTTCTTGTTCATGGAAAAAATCTTCACAACTGATTATTATACTCGTTTTAATTTAGTTTTATATACTTCACATATTATATTCATATGAAATTACGATTGAACAAAAAAGTATTTTTATTATGCGCCCGAATCGAAAGATCCGAGGCGTATATTGTTTTTGTCCTGTCTGTCTGTCTGTTTGTCTGTTTTCTGCAAACTTTAACCTTTGTCATAACTTTTGAACCGTGAAAGAAAGACACTTCATATTTTATCCGAGACGTATATTGTTTTTGTCCTGTCTGTCTGTCTGTTTGTCTGTTTATCTTTTTGTCTGTTTGTCTGCAAACTTTAACCTTTGTCATAACTTTTGAACCATGAAAGAGACTTCATATTAAATTTTGTATGCACACTTCACTAATAAAGTTCTTTCAAATGAAACCAAGGTCAATGAACTTGTGACCTTGACTGCGACCTATGTGCTAAAAATAATTTTTTCTGCAAACTTTAACCTTTGAAGTAGCTTTTGGACATTAAAAGATAGAGACTTTATATTTGGAATGCATACACCACTTATTAAGCTCTTTTAAATGACACTAAGGTCAATGGCCATGTGACCTTGACTGTGACCTTTATGCTAAATATAGCTTTTTTGTCGGAAAACTTTAACCTTCGACATAACTTTTGAACGAAGAAAGATAGAGACTTAATATTTGGCATGCATACTCCACTAATTAAGCCCTTTCACATGACAGCAAGATCAATGACCTTGTGACCTTGTGACCTTGACTATGACCTATATGCTAAAAATATCTTTTTTAAACTTTGTTGCCTTATGTAGACTTATCTAAATTCTACCTATACTACAGCTTTACAAATTAAATGATTTTACTATCGCGATAAGAACATTTGGACTCATATGAGCACACCAAAGCACAACTACGTACGGCATATGTGTTTATCTGGGCTAATACGAGTTAAAATATTGTTTGTAAAATTCCAAAATACAAAATGTTTGTCCTTGAAACATGAAACGTGAAAATCAAAACAACAACCTATAGAACCTGTAAACACAGGCACATGCATGACGAGATACTTATTTTTCTTATATAAAAATGATAAACCCAATAGGTATGGGGTTATTTTTGGATTTATAATGTCAGGTACCTGGGCCTGAAAACTAAAATTCATAATTCAAATTTTAAAACATAACTCTGAAAAGTTCTAATTTGGGAAATTACGATACCCACTACCATGTTGACATACAGATACAAGGTATGTATGAAGTAGGTCTAAAAAAAATATTTTAACAATATATTGGACCTGATTTTTTTATACAGCGATTTTTTTTCTTAATCTACTTTTCGCTTCATATCTACTTTATCTACAACTTGAAAGAAAAAAAATAATATTAAGAAGATTCTTTATCCCCCTCCCCCATTTTTAAAAACTTAAATATAAGTGCCATTCATAGAAACACAGTCTGTATGAGAATAAAAATGTATTCTTCTGAAATATATTTAATGACTGTCAGTTGATTTCAGTTACCCCCCCCCCCCTTTAAAGTCAATTTAAACTTTCCTATAGAACATAGGGATATAATTTTGCCAATACTTCAAGTAATAAAAAATTTATGAAAAAAAGACTACGTCATGGTGACAATGACTGTTTTAAAATATAATAAATTATTTTGGATATTGAACACATTTGCATTTTTATTCACTCTTTGCAGACCTGTTTAGAAGCAATTTCAATCTGTGGAGTTTAGAGAGGGAGTATAATTTTTTTAAAATTAAAAAAAAAAAGAAATACTGTATAGTCATTGTTTTTGAATGGACAAGATGGCAAATTATCGTTGTTTTCAATATATAGATTTTTTTTAAATTAGATCTTTGATCCTCTGGACGGATGCATTTCAGCGCTCTAGACGCTACACAAAACTGTAGTACAAAACTATACAAAGCAATTTAGTTGACGCACATCAAAGATCTTATTTTAATTGGATTGTTAAAAATTATATATATTTTGTAAATATTTATTTAACTTTAAACTACAATCCTGTTACTTAATGAGTAATATAATTATGTTTATATGTATGCAATTTTTAAGTTTTGTGAATTTAATTTAAAAATACTGTGAAGCTCCAACCAGCCAATAAAAGTTTTTCTCAGTCAAGGTAAATCTTGACCTGAAATAATCGTTATAATTAAGAGTTATCCATCTTGGCTTCCCTTTGTATCTTTTCCTTAAATGAATAAATAAAATGAGAATTGAGCTAAATTGCATTATCATTACAGAATTTTAAAAATATGTTGAAAGAAATTTATATTACATAAAAAAAACATAGGGACTTGCTTTAAGTTTTAAAGCACATACTTGCATTAGAATATGATTTTGTTAATGTACGTAATAAAATATTCAGGAAAGATAATCGGTGTTGTAGTACATACAAAAACCAGACAAGCTAGATATAAGTAATATATTTTATTTTTTGATACCCGGAAAAAAATTTAAAATATTTTTACACCATTAGCAAAAACATAAAAACGTAAATTCAAAATTTAATTATTATTGGTGAATTTAATTGCATTTTCAAAAGAAAAAGTGCTTTAATTTGCAGTTTTTAAATTTTACCACTTTAAATAATCCTTAGTCAAGTTATTATATATACCTTTATAGCCCTATTCAAATCATACTTACCTGGTGCAGGGGATACCATGATCAGCAAGGTGGTTCCCCCAGATCGAGGCCTTACCATTGCACTCCGGTTTGGCTGAAGTCTGCGATAACCCCAAATGCGGGTTACTCGGGCACGTAATTTTTTAGTGTAGGGGTCTGCGTTCGCGCTAACCCCTGATCAATTTAAATAGAAGAACGGACTGCTTTTAATACCACACGGTACCCGGTATTGTTTAGAAATACATCCTTATCCAATTCCTTGTTAAAATCGTTAAATATACTCTTTATATTTTAGTTACTAGTGTATATATTTCACATAGGTTTTACGCTATAAAATTTAAAAAAAAAAGAAATACATGTATGTTTTTTGAAAGAACAGAATTGGCAGGGTCTTCATCATGGCTTATAAATCAATTTTTATCTGATCCAGGGAGCTCCTGGCACCCCAGGTGAATATATATTTATGAGGGTCTCCGAAAAGGTATTACCTCCACTTTTTTGTTAATATATTATTGAAATTTAAAATTGAAAAAAAATTATTCGAGTAATCCTTCATTTTTTTTTCGCTAAATAAAAGTTTTTCATACGTATTGTTTCAGGGGCCTATATATACTAAGTATAAAGGTCCCTGATGTGTATAATTTGACAAAATCTCTGTTTAAAAAAATCTGTACGGAAGCCCATTTAGGACTTATCAAAAATATTTTTGAATTCGATATAACAAATTGTAGAATTTGTTAAGACGAATTCATTATATAAATATTTTTTTGGAATTCGTTATTACGGAATAAATCTGTTATAACAGATATCTTAAATTTGTTATAAGTTCTTATAAGGAATTCAAATAATTGTAATAACGAATTAATTCCCTTCAAACAGATCAAAATCGTTATTACAATTTTTGAATTTGTGATAAATTCACAAATACTTTTCTATAGGCCCCAATTGTCAAATTTGATTAAACGACTTAAATTCGTCATTACAAATTTCAGAATTCGTAAATACAAATTGCAAATTCATTTTATCAAATTTAATCTGTTATAACAAAATTTTGAATATGTTGTAACGACAAATTCGACAATTCGGTATATCGAATACAAAAATATTTTTGATAGGTCCTAAATAGGCTTCCGTACTTCGCTTATAAGGCCTATTTGTTATGTTCTCGGATACAAAAAAAAAAGAGACAAAAATAGTATTTGAATAATGCATTTCTTATCAGAAGCTTCGTCAAAAATTATATAATTTGTTAGAATGTTACAGTTATTTCTCTCCTACTTTTAGCCAACCTGAGCTGAAAGTTGGAGTGTGTTTTTCTAGTGTCATCTATTGTCATTTATCCGCCTGTCTATAAATTTTCATATTTTCAATTATCAAGAACCACTAAGTCAGATTAACCAAAATTGGTACAAAGCTTCTTTTGGTGAAGGGAAGTTCAAATTGATAAAGCGAAAAACCGAGGTCCCTTCTAAGGAGAGATAATCAAGAAAAGACAAAAATAGGATAGGGCCCTTTAAAAACGACTGGGCCAAAAAAAACCTGCAATTTATGTGGAGGCATGCTAAGGTATTGTAGATTCTAAATTGTTCAAATCATGACTCTCTGAGGTAGGGTGGGGCCTAAATAGATAATATAATTTTTACATTGAAATATAGGAAAAGTCTATAAAAATTTCTTCTCAAGAACCATTGGGATAGGAAAACTGATGCGTAAGCATCCTGTGATAGTACTAATTAAAGTATTCATTCTAAATTGTTCAAATCTAGCTGCAGAATTGTAGCATTCCGAAAAAAAATATTTGACAGACCGGATTGTCAATATGTTTTTTCGGAGACCTTCAGTTCTGCAGCTAGTTCAAATCACTACCCCCAGGACAGGACGAGGCCACAACAGGAATCCCAGTTTTACATTGAGTATACATTGAGTATAATCTTCTGCAACAACCAATGGGCCAGTTAAGCTGAAACTTATTTGGAAGCACCCTGGGGTAGTGTAGATTCTAAATATTTAAATCGTAACTCTCGGGCTGGAGGGGTCCATTGAAATATATATCATGAAAATCTATTAAAAATCTTCTCAAGAACCACTAAGAGCGCGTTTGATTTGTCTACACCATACTACTCCCGGTGTAGACAATTTACACCTTGTAATCAAGTGAAATTTGGTGTAGTGTAGCATATTCAATGTGGACGTCAACATTTCAACCAGCTTAGGGGATTCTATTTGCAGAAGATTTTTTTTAAATATTTGTTACGAATGTGAACAA